AAGTAAAAATATAGAGAAGAAAAGAAGAGGAGAAACATAATAGGTAATTGTCGAGTTAATTAATAATTAAAAGATTCAATTATTATTGTTGCATTATCATTAGCGCGGTTGCACTGTCTCTCTCGTCTTACCTCTCTTTGATCTGAATCCGTCTTGAACATCTAGCGGACCATCGTCCAAGTTAATTAAACACAGGGCCACAAAGTGGTCTGGACCGATGTCGAAAACAATGAAGCGTGCGAATCATCCTTCAATTATCCACAATGACGAAAGAATCTTTGTGATTCAATTTCTCTTGACTGGTTAATCATATCCATCATTTGGATCCTGAAAACAAAAATGGACAAAAATTAGTAGCTATTCTACTTCTTTTTTTTAATTATTCACAACTTTAAGGATAAATTCAAATGACTTTACTTGCCAGTTTATAATATCGCTTTGAATAAATCTCTGTTAATCGATACTAAATATCATTACAATATTAAGAAATATCATTCTCATTTTTACAGTTAATATTAATAACAATTATCATTGGATAATAATATATATACAGGTGTCTGATAATTTCGAAAATCTTTTAAAACGAATGATAATGAAATGAAATTGTGTTACGATTATTTAGTACCAAGTATTTTAATTGCTTCTCTGATAACGATAATACCGATAATGATAAATTTTAAAACGTTTAAAGGGGAAACGATGTAATAATTCGGAAAATGATAATAATATCCTTGATATACGTACAACAATATTTGGTTTATATTTCGATTAAACGATTGCTAATTAAACGTAAGTTACAAAAGAAAGTTTCAAATATTAACCGATCCTTCTACGTAATTATTATCCATTTAATTACCATTAATATAAAACGATTAGATAAACGGATCGAATAAATATAATAAAAATATAATAAAAATATAATAAAAATATAATAAAAATTAATATATATTCTCAAATTTAAAATTACGATCTCGTAATTTTATATTTTATATCGATAAATATATATATATATTTAATTTTCGGAGAATAAGTTTTGATTGCTCGATTAAAAATAATGGCGAGAGCGACACACGGTCGGCGAGAGCGTAGGGGAGGAGAGACAAAAATAGAGATGTGAAATGGAGGGAGAGAGAGAGAGAGAGGGAGAGGAAAGATTTTTACCGATTGAAAAAAGGAATTTTTTTGTGGCGGATCAATTCAGCCGGGGCACCCTTCTTCGATTGGTTGTTCCGTTAAAACGTGGGATCACAATGCCGGTGGCGGATAGAGGTGAAAAATTTCAGCGCGATGCTCGAGGAGATGGAGAGGACGCGTTCGTCGGAAAAAAACGACGGCTCGATTATTTTCGAGAACCTCGGATTTCAATTTATCGTGTTCACTCTCTCTTTCTCTCTCTCTATATATATATATACACACATACATATATATATATATAT